CCAGCCTTGCATAGATTTATTTGTCATGAAAACTACCGGGAGGGGCTTAGTTTACCCAGATTTCAAAAGAACAATTATGTACATAGTTAGGAAACTTCTAATGCCTGAGACTATGATAAATGCTTCAAGCTGTAATGTACATAGTTAATTGTTCTAAAGTCATTGTTCAGGAATAAAAGACATTGGGTGTATCCCTGCTATCAGATACTGGATGGCTAAAAACAACACAGACGCCAAAGAATGAGGACTCACAAGTGATCACTAACTTAATGGACAAGTGGAAAAGTTTTATTGTTTTTTTTACAGTTCCTCGTAGCCCCTTTGCCCACTTAAAAAACTATTCATCTAAGAGCAAAAATCCCATCCTCTTTCTTTGCCCAATATTGAATAGGCCGCACACAAGATAGGATGAAACTGGGGGACTTCCAGTTTGTCGGCTTCGCTAGCGGCAGGGATTTGCGATCCTGCGTGATCCCTGCCGCGCTAGCCGCTTTGGTGCCTCCGATCCGCGGATCTGGAGGCTAAGGCTGCCACGAAGAGGCAGCCGAAGATAAGGGGGAGCTGGTGAGGGGTTTGGGGGTGTTGCAGACCCCCTTCCCAGCCGGCAAAACCCCCTTCTCCCAAGACGGTCGAGCGGCGGTCCGTAATGGCCGCCTCAAAGAAGCCGGCAGCTGGGTAAGATTGGGCAGGAGGAAGAGAGGAGAAAGTTGTCAAGAGAAAGTTTTTTTGGCCAACCCAGGATTTTAAGAGGCGTTTAATCCTGAGAACTATGGTTTTTTGAACAACACTTCGTTTCCAGAGGAGGATTACAAGCGGCAAAATTGAGTGCTGAAAGGGAAAGTTCACTCTCCTTCCTTATGGAATCAACAAATGGCCATTGAGAAACCTGTTGTTTTTTTTAATAAAAGAAGAAGAATAAAGAATGGCTTTATCTGTTGATGAACTTAGAGAATATGAAGAAAGAAAGGACGCTGTGAAAGAAGCCTTCCTCTTTTTAGAAATGGTGCTTGTTAATTATCAAATACAACAACAGATGAAGGAAATGGAAGGAGAAGAAGAAGAAGAAGACGCCATCTTCAATGAATCTAAAAATTTAGTTAAGAGAGAAAGGAGAAAGAAAGGAAGGAAAATGAAGGACTTATGACTTTAAAAAATACTTAAGAAAGGAAAAAATAAGATGCAAAACCAACTCAGTGTTAATGTTATTGAGCAAAAGGAGAAAGGAATACAACAGAGAGGGGAAGCTAAAGGGGGAGATAAAAAGGTTAGGTGGGATAAGAAAGGAAGGGAAAAGGGAGGGAAAAGCCACAAAGGTATAAAACAAGATGGGAAAAAAGGAATTTTGTTTAGGGATAAAGGGTAATGTATAATTTCTTTAAAAAAGAAGATTCTGCAAGGTACATAAGATGGTATTGTAGTATTTGTATTAGAAATAGAAAACTAGAATGTTATAAGAATTAACAAAAGATTAAAATATTGAAATGTTTAGTAATGATAGATTTTAAAATTTAATAAAAGATTAAAAGGAATGTTTAAAATATTGAGTTTAATTAAAAAGTTTAATTTACTGTTGTTTTGATCTTATTATAAACTCATTATTGTAGCACTTGTTTCTTGAAATAGACAATTGGAATGTTATAAGATTTAAAATTTAGATTTATTATTTAATTATATTAATTATTATGGACTTATTATTTTCTCTCTTTAAGAGGTTAGTAGGTTGAATGTACTAAGCAGATTCAGATTGGGTATTTTAAATATTTTTAGGGGGAGGATAGAAAGGCATCATACCTTGATCAGTGATTTCAGGAGAAATTCTTTTTTTTTTTTTTTTTACTTGCTCTAGGGAATGAGATAAATGGATAATTTGGAGAATGGACAAAAAATATAAATATAATGATTTAAATTAAAATGAATTAAATAAAATAGAAATAAGAAGAGTGAAAAGCGGGTAGAAGTTATATAGAAGATATAGAATGGTAAATAAGATAGGTAATGGTATATAAGATGAGCACGAATTTAATTGAAGTCCATACAAAGAGAGGTAATCTGGGGCCAAACTACTTTCTTAAAAGAAGTTTTTATATTTTTGTGTTTTGTATGTCTATGTTTTCTTTGAGAATTAATAAAACCTCGGAGGACTGTTGGATGAGAATAATGTTAAACAAGACAGAGAGGAATGAAGATGATATTGAAATGGTGAAAAACAGAATGATGTTGTATAAAATAATATTTTATTTGACTTGTAAAGTTAATAATGGAGGTTTTATGTATTTAAAGGTTAACGGTGGTTTGTTTGTCTTCAAAATCAATAAAATTTGTTTCAAAAAAAAAAAAAAGATAGGACGAAACTGCAGAGTATGTGAAGAAATCTTTATTGATAGCAGCTCTGAGAAGTTCTGTTGTTGCTCATATCAAAAATAGCAACAACTCCAGTCTGGGCCCTAATGCTGAAATAATCCAGCCGAGAAACATCTTTTCACTTTTTCTTGTAATCATCATCTCACACGTGGCACTATCCTCTAAAAACACAATTTTCACTCTCGTCACAAGACACCACCATGTCCTGGATTTGTATCCTCGGAGCAAAAAATGGCTGAGGATCTTTTCCTTCTAATAGATCCAACATCTCAACATTTCTGCAGATTAGCTTTTGTCTCATTTGGGTCTCTTGTGATTCAGGGATTCCAGCTCCCAGAATTCTCAGCAGTGGGCCAAGCTGGCTTCTGAATTTTGGGAATGGTTAAGGTTAATGACCAACAATATGCCTTTTCTCAGTTCTCCCTTGGGCATGATTACGGAGGACCAGATTCTCCATGGATCACTCACCCAGTACACACTACTATTCTTCAGAGCAGAGATATCATTTAATTGGGGGAAAGTGGCATTTTAAGGAAAGGAAAAATACTATAAATTCTTATTTCACTTCGGTTCAAGCTAACAGCAGCAGTTCCTCCCCCTGACCTGCAATTTGTATATTTAAAGAGTGTTTCTCAGTCTTGGCAAACTTTAAAATATGTGGACTTGAGGATAGATTCTGACCAACAACAAGTCACTATATTGTCGCTGGATTCTCTAAACTAGTGATTGTCTGCCTTAGCAACTTTAAGAGAGATGGACTTCAATGCCCAGAATTCCCCAACCAGCACGTTTACTGAAGGATTTTGTGAGTTTTAGCGTGACATTTCGTTTCTACTTTCTTCCATGTCTGGAGTTTCTGGTGGTGGTGGTGGGGAATCATGAGGCATTAGAGAACAAAAGGAGTTTTACTTCCTTATGCCTGAAGGCGTAACAAAAGGAGCCCTAACCAGTCCTAGAAAATAAAAGAAGGAAATAATTAGCAAACTTTGGAGGAGGAGAAGTTAAGGAAGATGTCAATTTCTCTCCACCATGTCCTCTTTCTGTCTGGTGGTGCATTTTACCACAAACTCATGGAATGTATGTGTCTAACAGATAACCAAGAGTTGGAAGTGACCTTGTAGGTCATCTAGTCCAACCCCCCCACCTCCGCCCAAGCGGGAGACCCTACACCATTTCTGACAGATGGGAGTCCAATCTCTTCTTGAAAGTCTCAAGTGATGAAGCTCCCACAACTTCCGAGAGCAACTTCTGTTCCTTGGTTGATTGTTCTCACTGTCAGAAAGTTTCTCCTTATTTCCAGGTTGAATCTCTCCTTGTTCAGTTTCCATCCATTATTCCTTGTCTGGCCTTCGGGTGCTTTAGAAAATAACTTGACCCCTTCCTCCTCTCTGTGGCAGCCCCTCAAATATTGGAACACTGCTATCATGTCTCCCCTGGTCCTTCTCTAAGGGAGTTTACTGTAAGAGCTCTCCTGCTATGCATGCAGAAGTGAAAAAATATATTCAGGGCATTTGTCACAAGATGGGGGATCTTGCCAGAGTTTGCCTTCAGCCTTCCCTATCCTGGAAAGCCAGCATGCCGCCCAAGCGGCTGATGGATTGGCTACTGACTACTGACACCCTGGTCAGAGTAACAGATGAGTTGGAAGGGATCTTGGCTGTCCTCCAATTCAATTCCCTGTTCAAGCAGGAAACCCTATAACATTTCAGATAAATGATGGCCCAATCTCTTCTTTAAAACTTCCAGTGTTCAAGCACCCACTGATTAATTGTTCCAACTGTCAGAAAGTTTCCCCTTAGTTTTCTGTTTTGTTTTGTTTTTTGTTTTTACCTAATCCTTTTATTTATTGATTGATTGATTTTTGTCAATTGCTTACAAGGTAATAGGTATAAGTAAAAACATAGTTATGAATACACGAATACATATAAGAAAGATAAAAGAAACAATAGGATAGGGATGGTAGACACGTTGGTGCGCTTATGCAAGCCCTCTACAGGCCTCTTAGGAAAGGGGTGAGGTCAATAGTAGACAGTCTAAGGTTAAAGTTTTTGGGGTTTGGGGATCAGTACTACCCTGTTTCTCCAACAATACGGCCTCCCCCAATAGGAAGTCCCAGCATGTTTTATAGGCATGAAATGAAATTAAGCCCCTCCCCCCAAATTAAGGCCTATATTAAAACATGTGAAATGGGGGGAATGGTGGAGGGGGGGCTTGCCATTAGGAAGTACTTTTGTTGCACACCCGGATATGGTGCTGCCTGCGTTGACCCCGATATGAAGTGCCCCATCAACATCCAAGCCATCACCGCCCGCCCGAAGATGCAAGTGGGGGGGAATTAAGTCACCCCCAAAAAGATGGCCTAGCCATTTTTTCGGGGCTCAAAAAAAAATAAGACCCGGCCTTATTATATGAGAAACACGGTAGTAAGCCAGAGAGGGCTGCTGATCAATATGCTAGTGTGTTTACCAATCATGTCTTCTACATCTGGCTTTTAAGAAGTATATGTCCAGCATGCTAACCAGAAGTACACCTCAAAATGAATCATTCGCTTGCCCCACTATGCTACCTTGTTTATTTTAATCTCATATCTGCTCCGCCCATCCAAGTATAAAAAGGCAGCAGATCGACAGTGCCCTTGTTTTGCCTATAAGCATCGTATCACAAAAGTTATCAAGGAGCCAGAGAAAAAAGGAAACAGGTAAGAGGGGAATTTATATATTCATGGTGTTAAATGTTTTCAGTTTGCACCTGGGATTGCTTGACTGGAGCTATGCTTATGAAGGAAAATGATTTGATTCTGCTCTTTTCTGTTGTTTGGTGATTTTCTTGGTTTTGGTGAAACAGTTTTTGGCTACCTTAGTCTGAGTATTCCTGGCTCTTGGAATCACTATGGATGAGGCCAGTAAATAGGAAAGTTTAGGTACTCCAATAATGTCCTGGCAGTGACCAATGAGAATTTTGAAGTCCTAGGTATCTAGAGAGCTTCATTTTCTTCTAGAGGTTCGCCATCATTCCTCATGGACTTCTTTGAGGAAGGTTTGCAAAAGTTGTGGACTCACCCAAGGTGCCAAGTTTTACTTCCCTCCTGCAATGAAATAGGTTTTAACCATTTGCAGGTTTTTTGCTTTTATTCCTTGGTGTATTTATTTCATTTCTTGTACCACATCTCACAAGGTTTCTCCCTCTCGTGAGATTTCTGCATTTTGGGAAGGAGACAACTGGGATGTTACATGAAGTTATTGTCAGCATTCCAACTAACCAACTCCAATAAACTCCAAGGCAAGCATTTCCTCAAAGTTCCATTTTATTAGAGTTGTCATATTGGCACATCTGGGAAAACCCGAATCTGAGAGTTCCGGATTTTTCCTTCCCAAAAGAGAAGTCAAAGGTCCATCCCCTACACCCATCAGTCCATCACATGGTCCAATCAAATCTTCGTCCCAACTGGAGACATCCCTCCGCTCACTCCCCTCCAGGTGCAGGGCAACTTGTCCTTGACTTTCTGAGAAAGAATGTTGTTATGTCTAATCTTCTACCTCACTATGAAATCCCCCCTCCCCAATTCCCAGGCACTAAATGTGGCAGTCTTGAGGCTTCCAAGTAAAAAATGGCTTACAAGGCTGACAGTTATATAATACCAGGTCTGGCTCAATTCATACATTTGCAGCTGTTGCTTTCATATTTTTCTCTAATTTGCATAGGAAAAAAAGGTACACCTGCATAGGGAACAAAGAGACATCTCTCATATCCTCAGACACCCCTCTTTTTCAACCTGTAGGCATAGCTACTATCTTAGCACTCATGCTAATTGCTTCCTGCTAGCTATGATCTATTGTTTTCCATTTGCATGTTGTGGACTTTAAAAGCACAGAGTGTTTGTCCTAGTTGAAGTTATCTTGAAACAACAAATAGTCACTGAGCCTATTAATTGTTTAAAAGATCCATTAGCTGCTGCTGCTGTTTTATGTGGGGAAAAAAAACCCAGCACTGGGCCTGATACTACCCACATGCTAATTTGTGCAAAATAGTCCAGACTTTAAAGAGAAGAATTAAAACTAAACACGACCCCATTTGAATAATTCATAATGGCACAAAATGGCTTTTTATAGCAAAATGCAAGATTGTTATCTCTACCTCTATTCTAAACTAGAATTAAAAGAAGGTGCAAGAAGTTTAAAAACAACTACAACCCTGCTTTGCCCCTTGTTAGGGGTCTTTAAAAAATTGTTTGAAAATATTAATAGCAAAGTATTACAAATGGCAGCACCAATAGAAAAAAAAATTAATAAATGACATTTATACAGTGAAGTGGATGGGCGGGTTAAAAAATACCCTTCTAGATACATTATGATGATTCAAAGAAAGCTAACCAACAAAAAAAATATTATAAATACTACCATGTTTCTCCAAAATTAAGACCTGTCCTGAAAATAAGCCCTAGTTTGATTTTTACACATGATCGCTCTACCCCCCACAAAATAAGCCCTAATTAAGACCCTGCCCACTCCATGGCACCTGGTTTCATGGGGTGGGGCAAGACGCACAGGTAAAAATCAAGCTAGGGTGGGAATGGCGGGATGGAGCTGATTACCTTTGAGCAGTTGCAGACATGCCTCACACATCAAAATATTTGTCTTGCTGGCCCACATCTTCTGCAGCTGCTTGCCGCTTCTTGTGCGTATTGCCCCCGACCTCCATTTGGCCATCAGAGGTGGCATTCAGAGCTTGTTTCTCAACTACAAGGAGGCTGGGGACACTGTGGGCATGGCAAAATGGAGGCTGAGGGCACCGGGCCTAAAGTGGGCCAGCAATGACCACATAGGCTCCTGCTGAGCAGGGCTGTTGGTGCTATGGAAGACATCCCTCCAAAATAAGACCTAATGCAAAATAAATAAATAAGACCAGGTCTTATTTTCGGGAAAACACAGTACTGATGGGATTATAAATTTTATTGAGTCTTTAGGTTCACCATAAAATACAGCAGTCTTCCAATTCTTGAAGGGCAGCCACACTAGGAAGGGGGTGTAGATTTTTTTCTCCTCTCAAGAATCAGACAAGAAGTCACAAATCGAAGCTAGAGAGAGAGAGATTCAAACTTGGTAAGGTGGAATCTCCTAATCATGAATGTTATGAAGCAATTGGACAACTTATCTCCTGGAGTTGGGAGTTTTCAAGCAACAGTTGGATAGCCAATAGTCAGAAATCATGGTTCTCAACCTTGGCAACTTTAAGATGTGTGAACTTCAACTCCCAGAATTCCACAGTGAGCAAAGGGAGCCTCTGTAGGTTTGAAATTCAATTTTTGTCAACAACCTCATAATTCTCTAACTTTTGCCTAGTTTCTCTGCCAAGGAATCAACCCCAGATACAACCAACTTGGCTTCCTGAACCAAGTTCCAGGATTCCCCCTTTCCAATCAGGTCTACAAATCGAGAGTTTTAGGGTGGTCTCCCATTCGCGTAACCACCTATTCTGATTCTCTTGCCTTTTCAGAAATCATCCAAGGTCAGCCAGGACAAGCATATATATTTAATTTAATTTAAGTTTTTGCAGTATTTGCACATATATAGGGAGCCTCTGTGGCGCAGTGGTTAGAGTGCAGTACTGCAAGCTACTTCTGCTGACTGCCAGCTGCCTACAATTTGGCAGTTCAAATCCCACCAGGCTCAAGGTTAACTCAGCCTTCCATCCTTCCAAGGTGGGTAAAATGGGGACCCAGATTGTTGGGGGCCATGTGCTGACTCTGTAAACTGCTTAGAGAGGGCTGTAAAGCACTATAAAAGTGGTATATAAGTCTAAGTGCTATTGCTATTGGTATTAAACCTCAACCACATTTAGTTTTCCCTGTGGCCCTCAGCCAAAACTAAAGTGCCCAATGACAGAGGGAATTCATCATTTAGGGTGGGGAAGACTAGGTCATGAAGAATTGGGAAATTTCTAAGCCGTCATGAATAGAAGGTATTTTCTATTTCCTCCACTGTAATTTGACACCTTTGAAGCTGTGTTTCTCCCAAATAGAGAATTTTAGAGATCGTATTTTTAAAAAAACCCAACCTTATCCAACTCATGATGTCATTGGTTTCATGAGCTTGCCTCCAAGTTCCCCGTTGTTCATTTGCCATATTAATTCTCTCTTGCTCTTTCTTCCCACACATTTCTAACCTGATGGAATTCGTTGTTGGAACACTTATCCCTGTGCAAACCAAAAATTCTCCATTCCCAGAAAAAAAATATGAAGTATCTTCTTTTTTCCGCTGCTTTGATAGCTACAGGTAAGCCCAATAAATACCTGGAACATAGACTGTCTGGGCTGAGTGAGCAGAAAGGCGAAGAGTGATGATGACATTGTAACCCATTGTATTTGGAGATTATCGATTGATTAATATTAAAATATATGTTTTTGTGGGGTCCTTGGTGCTCTCTCAGCTTGGTTGCTATGAAGTGCCTGCTGATCTTACTGTCGCAGTTCCAACCAAGCCAGCGAAAGAAGAGACCACACAATGAGCAGAAAGGGTGTCTTTACTGGAGTCAGCTTGGCACGTGGTGAACAATATCAGTACAAGAGTTTCTAGCCAGCATTCCTGGCTTCTGCTAGCCAGCTGGCCAGAGGTGGGCTGCACTTTTGTTGACATGGGGCTCGCTGGCCATGCACTTTGCCACTTTGGGGCTGAAACGCAGTGTCAAACAGGCAGCTAATCGGCTCAGGCAGCTACGATGAGTACAGCAGGCCGGTGCGGAATTCACCTGGGCAGCCTGGGGGGGGGGGGGGGGGAATGTTAGTTATTTAGGGAAAGAAGCAGTGGTGGGATTCAATTTTTTTTTTACTTCCGGTGCTGTGGGCGTGGTTTGGTGGGTATGGCGTTGCTTTGTGGGCATGGCTTTGTGAGTCTGGCAGGGGAAGGATACACTGCAAAATCCCCATACCCTCCCCACCCCACTAACCTGCTTTCCAGCTCCGTTGTCCTGTGCAGGGCAACCAAAGGAGACCCAGCCGATCAGCTTGGACTTGGGAGGCAGAGAATAGACAGGGGCAGGGCCAGTCAGAGGTGGTATTTGTTGGTTCTCCCAACTACTCAAAATTTCCGGTACTGGTTTTCCAGAACTGGTCAGAACCGGCTGAATACCACCTCTGCTCCCCACCCCACTAACTTGCTTTCCAGCTCCATTCTCCTGTGCAGGGCAACCAAAGGAGAGCCAACCGATCAGCTGGGACTCAATGGGAGGCAGAGAACAGATGGGGGTGGGGCCAGTCAGCGGTAGTATTTGCCGGTTCTTCGAACTACTCAAAATGTCCACTACCGGTTCTCCAGAACTGGTTAGAACTGGCTGAATACCACCTCTGGAAAGCATAGCACAAGGGCGGGTGGGAAGGCCCAGCCAGAGATCACAGCCAGGGGCTCGCCTGAACCTTGCCAACCATCCAACAGCCCACCATTGCAGCTGGCTTTACGGACTCAGCACGCTCCACCCTCTGGGTTCCTGGTGGCTCCAGCAAGTACTCTTCAGGCCTGGTTGACTTCTAAACTGACCGCAGCTGGTTTGCCTTCCTGGCTCCTCTCCCAGCATGGGTCCCATCACCCAACACCCATCTGTGGCCCCATATACACCCCCCCCGATGTGTGTGGCCATTTTGAACAGTGTGCTGTTTCGGATGTTGACAGTTACCTATCTGGATAATGAGCAACCGGTGTATTGGTGCATAAACCAAGGGCACGTTGGACCAATTTATTTAAGCAGAAAGATTAAATTAAATTAAACTGTCAATTTGCTTTTCAATTGAAAGTTATTGTTATTTTATCCTCTTTTTTTCCCTCATCCCCACCCCAAATAGCAACAGCTGAGCTGATCTGCCAATGTAACACACCAACCTCCGGACCACCATGCGATAAAGATAAAGATACTTGTACTATCCAAGAAGGACAATGTTATTCAGTTGAGAGAGGAATCTCTATCGGTAAATGCTGACACTTCCTATTTGCTTTTCTGAGTGACTTCTTCTAGGAAATTTCTCGATTGAAAGAGAGGGAGGGGGGAGGAGGGGGGAGGAGAGGAGAAGAGGAGGAAAGGAGAGGAGGAGAGGAAAAGACAAGAGAGGAGGAAAAAAGAGAAACAGAGAAGAAAGAAGGATGAGAAGGCAAAGCGAGAAGGAAAGAAAGAGAGAAGGAGGAGGGGAGAAAATCAGGTGCCCAATATCAACTCACTTCTGAGAAACAAATTTTCCAGCATCCATTTTAGCCTCACCTCTCAGCAGGTGAAAGTCTGATTTTGCACTAGTAGAAGAGCTAACTGTTATCAAAAGAAGGCTGCCCTGCCTGCCTTCACAGAAAAGCTAAGCTACCTGTCTCTTACAATCAAAAAGATGAGGAAAGAGGCAAGAATTCTGCCACCCTCAAATGCCTGCGCTTAGGAGTTTCCTTTAAAAGTCACCATTCCTCCATCATCATCATCATCATCATTATCATTACCCCCAAATGAGCCCAGTTACAGCCTCTGTTCCTTTAAAATAGGAGGGCTCTCATCGGTGGTAGGATTCAAATTTTTTTTTACTACCGGTTCTGTGGGCATGGCTTGGTGGGCGTGGCAGGGGAAGGATAGTGTAAAACAGGGATTTTACACCCACTACCACCCACTTTTGTATCTCTATTAGTAGTAAAATTTTCTCTAACCGCCCACCGCTTCCACAGTAATGGTGATTTATAAAGTAGGGGACAAAACCCCGACCGCCCACCATGAAAGCTAGAACGCCCACTAGTGGGTGGTAGGGATCAGGTTGACTACCACTGGTGTAAAATCTCCAGTCAGAGGTGGTATTTGCCTGTTCTCCAAACTACTCAAAATTTCCGCTACCGGTTCTCCAGAACTGGTCAGAACCTGCTGAATACCACCTCTGGCTCTCATCCTTTCCACCAGTGGTAGGATTCAAATTTTTTTACTACTGGCTCTGTGGCTATGGTGTGGCTTCATTGGTGTGGCTTGATGGGCATGGCAGGGGAAGCATACTGTAAGATTTCCATTCCCTCCCCACTCCTGGGAGAAGGTTACTGCAAAATCCCCATTCCCTCCCCACCCCACTAACCTGCTTTCAAGCTCCGTTCTCCTGGGCAGGGCAACCAAAGAAGACCCAGCCGATCAGCTGGGACTCGGGAGGCAGAGAATAGATGGGGTGGAGACAGTCAGAGGCGGTTTGAGGTTCTCTGAACTACTCAAAATTTTTGCTACCAGTTCTCCAGAACCGGTCAGAACCTGCTCAATACCACCTCTGCTTTCCACACCTCTGTTGTCCGGTAACTTTTAAAATGCTCTCAGCAGATGTCTCGGCCTCAGAGGCAAAAGATAGAGATTGTGCTTAATCAACATGGTCATGAAAATGTGACCGAAACCATCCTTGAACTTCCACAATGTGGAAATTTGACTGAGTCTAATTGTTGGGGAACCTCATCCCGGTTTCTGTAGACCTGAAAGGTGAAGGCACAGGATCCTGACTCCAGCCTTCAGATGGATGCTAAGGAGAAGTGCTTTTTAACAAATTGGTGAAAAGAAGGACCAGGGGGTGACATGATAGCAATGTTCCAGTATCTCAGGGTCTGCCACAAAGAAGAGGGAGTCAAGCTCTTCTCCAAAGCACAAGAAGGCAGGACAAGAAGCAGTGGGTGGAAACTCATCAAGGAGAGAAGCAATTTGGAACTAAGGAGGAATTTCCTGACAGTGAGAACAATTAATCAGTGGAACAACTTGCCTCCAGAAGTTGTAAATGCTCCAACACTGGGAGTTTTTAAGAAGAGATTGGATAACCATTTGTCTGAAGTGGTATTGGGCAGGGGTCCCGAAACTTGGCCACTTTAAGACTTGTGCACTTCAATTCCCAGAATTCTCCAGCCAGATGGCCGGCTGGAGAATTCTGGAAGTTGAAGTCCACAAGTCTTAAAGTGGCCAGGTTTCCTCCCTAAGCAGGGGATTGGACTAGAAGACCTCCAAGGTCCCTTCCAACTCTGTTATTCTAAGTAAATCTGAAAATGCCAACAGTCGTCTTTTCAGCTTCTTTCTAATGATGTCTTCCTCCCATTTGTTTGCAGAGAAAGAGAAGACAGTAAACGCAACAAGTAAAGGCTGCCAGGATATCAAAGGGGATGTCTGCAATGAAGGACTTGTGTTCATTTCGTCTGAGAATGCTTTTTATCTGTTGAGCAACATTAAATGCTGTAAAGACAAAAATCAATGTAATCAAAATGATGCTCCAAGTAGGTGACATCGTCGTGTTTTTTTTTTTAAAAATCTGCTTTTATTTGCAATTTTCCCTGATTCCCACTTCATCCTGTGCACATTTTAATAGCAATTTCTCTGGAGGGAATTCTTACTATTCTGTGCACAGTTGGGTGCAGGGGTGAGCTTCAAAAAATGTAGCAACCGGTTCTCTGCCCGATTGCTGGATGGGCATGGCCATGGTGGGGTGTGGCCTTCTGCACCACAGTGGGTGGGGGGCGCATTTTCGCCCTCCCCGGGCTCCGGAGGCTTTCCTCGAGCCTCCAGTAGGGGAAAAATGGCCTCCCTGGGCTCCAGAGGCTCTCCGGAGGCTAGAAACAGGCCCGTTTCTGGCCTTCAGGAGTCTCCGGTAGGCCTGTTTTTTGCCCAACCTGAGTCTCCATGTGCGCCCTGCACTTACCTGTTTTCCAAAATGGGCCACGTGGTGATTCCTGGGAGGGGCGCAGTGGGGTGGGCGGTGCCAGCCAGTCGTTGCAACTACTGGTTTGGCGAACAAGATGTAAAATTAACTTCCGGTTCATCCGAACCAGTGCAAACCGGCAGTAGCCCACCTCTAGTTGGGTGACTCTATTTATAATGCACCAAGTAAACTCATAAAGTCAAGAAAGGACATGAGGCTTTAATTTGTCCATTAAAATGTCTAATGTCCTTTAAGCTTCAGGAAATTAGACCTAACTGTCCATTAAATCCAAACCAGGGATCGCACCTCCAGCTGCTGCTTCAGAACAGCACTGTTCATCATTTTCAGAATGAATATTTGTACAGGTAGTCCTCGTCTTACAACCACAATGGAGCCCAAAATGTCTGTTGTTAAGTGAAATATTTGTGAAGCAAGCTTTGCCCCATTTTACGACCTTTCTTGACATAGGGAATCGCAGCAGTTGATAGGTTAGTAGCCCGGTTGTTAAGCGAAACGGGCTTCCCCATGACTTCGCTTGAGAGAAGGTCGCAAAAGGGGACCACCTGACCTTGGAACAGGATACAGCAACGGTCATAAGTATGAACCAGTGGCCAAGCCTCTGAATTTTGATCGCATGCTGCTAGAGGTGATATCTGTGAAAAATGGTCGTAAGTCACTTTTTCCAGTGCCGTTGTGACTTTGAACGGCCACTAAATGAACTGGGACTACCTGTACTTCTACAGATTTTGGGGAGTGGTCTCTCCCAGAACTGGATAAGATTTCCCCTTCCAAATACCCCCCCTGGAATAATTTTAGGTAAGTTCCGAAGGTTCAGCTCAGTGCTAATCCATGAATATCTTAACTCTTCTAGAACTTCCAAGCTTTTCAGAAGTTAACAAGACTCTTTCCAGCAAAAAGCTGGTTTGTCCATCATGCTTTGCTTACAAAAACAAAACATGTGAGGGTGAACAGATGTACTGCAAGGAAAACCAGGACAAATGCTTCACTATCAGTGGGACAGTCACCACAGGTAAATCAGAAACATCACATGGATTCCTTACGTTTGAATCCAAACTCTCATTTCCAAAAATGCTGTACTGGCTTCTAACACACCTGAGGCATATAACCACAGCTGGGACTAGACTTTCTGTGGCTTAAACAAGGTAGTTGTTAAAATGAAGTACGCCTACTTTTAGCAATAGCAATAGCAGTCAGACTTACAGTATATACTGCTTTACAGCCCTTCCTAAGTGGTTTTACAGAGTCTGGCCCCCAACAATCTGGGTTCTTATTTTACCCAACTCAGAAGGATGGAAGGCCGAGTCAACCTTGAGCCTGGTGAGAATCAAACTCTTGGCAGTGGGCAGAGTTAGCCTGCAATACTGCATTCTAACCCTTGTGTTTCCAGAGAGGGAGGGAGGGAAGGAAGGAAGGAAAGAAGGAAGGAAGAATAATAACAATACCACTTATATACATACCACTTCACAGTGCTTTACTGCCCTCCCTAAGTGGTTTACAGAGTCAGCCTTTTGCCCCCAACAATCTGGATTCTTATTTTACCCCCTCGGAAGGATGGAAGGCTGAGTCAACCTTGAGCTGGCGAGATTAGAACTGCCGAATTGCAGTCAGATGGCAGTCAGCAGAAGTAGCCTTCAGTACTGTGCTGTAACCACTGCACCACCAAGGCTCTTACAACCATTCTTGCCAAGGCTGTTAAGTGATTCACTGCAATTGTTAAGTAAAACAAATGGTCCTTAAGCGAACCAGGCTTCCCACCCACCTCCATTGACTTTGCTGGTCGGTAGGTCACAAATGGCCTCACATGACCTCAGGCAAGGGTGGGTTGCAAATATTTTTACTACTGGTTCGGTGGGCGTGGCTATGCGGGTGTGGCTAGGTGGGCATGGCTATGTGGGTGTAGCTAGGTGGGCATGGCCATGTGACTGGGTGGGCATGGCTTCTTCTTCTTTCCTCCCAATGATCAGCTGAACGGTAGCATTATTTCTTTTACTATCGGTTCACCTGAACCAGGCCAAACTGGTAGAATACCACCACTGTCCCCAGGACACTGCAGCTGCTATAAATCCATGCCCATTGCCAAGCTTCCAAATTGTGATCGGGTGATCGAGGAGATGGCAGTGCAACGGGCGTTAAGTCATTTTATTCAGTAACTTTGAATGGTCTCTAAGTGAATAGTTGTAAGTTGAGGAGTACCTTCAGGAGAAATATTCCCTTAGTCTAAGCCAGAGGTCTCAAACTCAAGGCATGCGGGTCAGATCTGGCACGCAATGTGGTTAGATCTGGCCTGCGGGGCGGCCCTGGAAACTATGAAGGACTGGCCCCCCAGTGCCTCAGCCCTAGTCCAGGCCAGCCTGGCACTGATCTGCAACTTGGTGGTGGCCATCCAGGCCAGAACGCGGTCAGCCTTAGATCTGCGGAGCCACCCTGGAGCCAGCAAGGGGCCGCTCTGCCACACCCCCTGGGCGCGTGCTGGAGACAATGGGTTCCTGATGCAGCCCTCAATGAAAACAAGTTTGACAGCCATGGTCTAAGCATATCATCAAGTGGGTGGAAAAATATCAGAAGCCAAGGCAAAATCTCTGTTGCTATTAAGGTCCTAGGCAGAGCTAGGGCCTTTTGTAAATCTTAACCTTTGTTGTTCTTGTAGCTTCCAACCAAAATTCTGAGAGTTTTCTGCCATTCTGTGATGGGCAATCCACAAAAAATCCTATGCAAAACCCTCTACTCTTTCCACACATGGCACAGTTCTAGCTCTTGTGGTGCAGTGATTAGAATGCAGTACTGCAGGCTACTTCTGCTGACTGCCAGCTGCCTGCAAATTGGCAGTTCGAATATCACCAGGCTCAAAGTTGACTCAGCCTTCCATCCTTCCGAGGTGAGTAAAATGAGGACCCAGATTGTTGGGGGCAAGAGGCTGACTCTGTAAACCTCTTAGAGAAGGCTGTAAAGCACTGTGAAGCTGTATATAAGCCTAAGTGCTATTGCTGGTGACATGTACCCACTGCAAACAGATTACTTCCAGACACCACTAGGAAGGCAGAATAGCAATAGTCCTTAGATTTATATACCGCTCTATAGTACTTTAGAGCCCTCTCTAAGCAGTTTACTCAAACTGCCCCCAACAATCTGGGTCCTCCTTTTACTGACCTCGGAAAAATGGAAAGCTGAGTCAACCTTCAGCCAGTCAGGATCGAACTGCAAAATTGCTGGCAACTGGCAGTCAGCAGAATTACCCAGGAATACTGCACTCTAACCATCCCGCCACCACGGCTCACATAAAACGTGTGGATATCTCCTTGTTGTTGTTGTTGTTTTTACTATCGATTCATTGATTTAGATATGTGCCAAATCAAACATGTCAGGATCAGAGGAAATGCTGCCAAGAAAAGAAAAAAAAAGAAGAAAAAAAAAAAAGCAGATTTGCCCATCTCTAGTGAAAATGGCAGGGGATGGAAGGGAGGCACAGCTGAGCCAAATTCAGCATCACCCCCTGAGAAGAAGAAAAACCCATACTAATTGTAGTCCCCCCTGCTATCCTTTGGTTTCACAGGTTCAACTGCAGCTGAAGAGTTCGCCGCGAAGGGATGTGCTACTTCAAAAACCATCTTAAAAGTTAATACCACCCTGACCTTTGGAGAGAACTCTTATAAACTTGAAAATGTCCAAGTTGAGGAAGCCAAAAGTGGTGCCAGCTGGATTTCCAACTGCCTATCTTTTGCTATCCTTCTGCCAAGTGTCCTATGGTTCCTACTGGACAGCTCCCTGTATTAACCCCAACCTGCCAATGTCCTCTCTACTCAAATGGGGAAAGTGTCCCATTGAATTCTACCAAAGAAGGCATACAGTAAATCAAAAAATTGTTGGCTTCAGCAATTGGTGCCCAGTATGTCTCTCAATTGCTGGTTTCTGAGTCTCTCTCCCCCCCTCCCTCCCTCTCTCCCTCTCCCTCCCTCTCCCTCTTCCTCTCCCCCCCTCTCTCCCTCCCTCCCTCTCCCTCCTCTCCCTCCCTCTCCCTCTCTCTCTCTCTCCTCTTTGTTCAATAAAAAGGGATTTTAATGTATCTAACTAATGCATATCTTAAATAAGAATAGAAATGGTGGTGTTAAGAAGGACCCGCAAATAAAGGAATCACAACGATGTAGATATTGTTGAGTTCAATGGGCTTTTTTATATAGCGGTTTGAAAAGGCTCAGTTAAGATTGGAATAGATTAATTGGTTTAAATAATTAAGCTTCCAACGATTGAGGTAAGGCTACAATCATCATACTGAAGAACAAAAATATATTTTTACGTGTGTTTTTTTTCTGTTGATGTATGATACCTATCTAAGGGGCACCCTGTGTGTGTGATGATGGAATGGAATGCCTCTTGTAAGACAATGCCTGCCATCTTTCATTGTTTTTTTATTTTAAAAAAATCAGCTCAAAATAAATGTGTCTGGCATTTTTTTTAAAAAAAAAAAAACAAATTGTGTTCAACATTTTTTTTTAAAGCAATCTGTGTTCAGAAGTAAATGTTGCTAAATCAATGGGATCTCTTTTCATATAAATGGGTATATGATGCAGTCAAGAATGAAGCATATGCCTAGAATTATAGGGCTGTAAGGGACTTTCGAAAGTAGGAGTCCTTATTCCATCCCAGACACATGGATATCCGATTTTTTCTTGAAAACCTTCAGCAATTGTGCTCCCACGACCCTGGAAGGCAAGCTGCTTCATTGACTAATTCAGGGGTCTTCAAACTTGCCAGCTTTAAGACTTGTGGACTTCAACTCCCAGAATTCCTCCTCCGGTCATGTTAGCTCAGGAATTCTGGGAGTTGAAGTCCACAAGTCTTAAACTTGCCAAGTTTGAAGGACCTTGGACTAATTGCTTTCACTGTCAGGAAGTTTCTCCTTAGTTTTAGATTGGTTCTCTCCTTGATTAGTTTCGACCTATTGCTTCTTGTCTCACCCTCAGTGAATCAATTGCAGGCTATCCATTATTTCTTTCTGTTCCTTGGTCATGGTTTGCTTATAGTAAACTCAAATTTTACTGATAGCTTCTAAGTGCCGGGATGACACTAAATCAAGATGAATCTTAAGCCTTCCAAAGAGTCGGGTTTTAGGGTTGGTCCTGGAGCAGGCCATGTTTTCTCTTGGTTATTGTTTTCCTTCTTCCTTGCTTTTGCATCCTCTCTCTTAAGATTGTGAAACCCTGTTGACCAGGGATACTGGCCTGTGATAGATAGTCAACTCTTCCAATATGAGAGGATGATACAAAGAAGTCAACCACTATGAAGCAAGGTTAATGGGGTGAAACCAGAAACCCTAACCAGAATCTACCGGTATGGTTAATTATTGCAATGGCCAATAAATAAATAAATAAATTTTTAAAATAAATCACATTCTGTCTCAGTGAGTCAAGACCTAGACTGACAGTCTGAGCTGTGATATTTTGACTCTGTGTGTGTGTGTGGTAAACACAGCCATTGAAATGACAACCCACACCACTTCTGAGCAAGTTCGGGCCCACAATGCATTAGCAATCGTTCAGAGAACTCTTACTTGGCAATCTATGAGGAGAATCTGTCACGTTGTATTTTCTTTGATCAGTGCCATGATTAGAAAAGTAAATGGTCAAAGATAGACAGTTGCCAGTTGACTTCAGCATTGCTCAATGTAGGAGAAGCACTTCGAGTAGTCCTTATTGTATATGGAGCTTCTAAGTCATCCAGGTCATGGTTGTCCAAAAGATGCTTTGGGATGGAAGGAAAGAAGGAAGGAAGGAAGGAAGGAAAGGAAGGAAGGAAGGAAGGAAGGAAGGAAGGAAGGAAGGAAGGAAG